AAGTTTAATTCAAAATCGCGAAGAAATGAGAGGAAAATTAGTTGGAACTCTGAAAAGATAGATATTAGTCGATTAAAAAAGTGTGACAGTAGTACTAAGTATGATATCGAGTTAAAAGTATACATTAAGTCATATCGTGCATATTATACAATTAGAACGTAAGATCATGCCTCGTGATTAGTTGAATTGTAAAGGTTTCACCTACGCGTTCCCGCGATCGTGCACTTCCTCTGAATCGTTTCTACTTTAACGATCAGGAGAGACCATGTATCGCTCGTAGTGGTATTCCCGCGAATCCGTTGCTGCGTTACGATTGCAGTAGTAATAACTGATATTCGTCAGGCAATAGCGTTCTTTCTGAATCGGTTTCACGATCCCGACCGATAACAAATCCACTCTGTGCAGCAATACTTAACTACTGTAAACATCGAAAATTCCACAGAGGAAGGAAAACGAAAATAGAGGAATAAAACGACGTAAACGTCGATAAAGAAATGTTTATCGGGAAATATTATGTCATTACATTTCATAATATATACAAAAGAGTGGAAAAGAGATAGAAAAATACAAACTAAATGGAGAGAAATACGAAGTATAATAATAATAATAATAGTAATAATACAAGAGAACGAAAAACATTGATTTTATACTTTATATCAATTAAAATTTATAAGAACAATAACCACCTGACAGTCTAACCTTTTAGTTGACACATCGCGAACCATGTTGTGAATCCGACCACGTGGGGAATGCCGAATTCGTCTGATTGAAAAATAAGAAACAGATGTCAATATCTTTATATCACGATCGAAACAAATTAAAAAGGATGGATTTATATCCGTTTCAATCATTTTCTTTTATACCGTGTTAATCAAATAATTTGCACGAATTTTGGCGTTTGCACGTTTATACAATATACAAATCGTCCGTGGGATAAAAATTGGTATTGATTAAAAATAGGTTAAAACTAATTGTCGATACATGAGGATTGAACACAGTTGGATAATGAGAAGGATCATTAGAAAGCTGCGAAAGCACCGTAACCCAAGGCGATCTAGGCTGCTTAACAGTCTAGCCTATGTTATACCTGGAACCAGAAGATACGGTCCTTTCAAATCTTTCGTTTCTTTCGAAAGTAGAGCTGTGTTTGGATTTGGACAACTGCTGCTGCGAGCGACGGAGGGCGCGTAGGCGTCCCTACCGCGACGCTCCTGTAAATCTGACGTCAACAACGCATGCAAACCACACGTACAGTCGTAATCTGAAAATGTCGAGTACGTTTTGCATGCGTTTAATGCGAATTGACCTTGGAAAATGTGAAATGGCATCGGATACTTCAGATATCAAGGTCACATACCGTAGATATACGTCCGATTTTTGTTCAACTTTGGCATATTAATGAATAAAAATAATAAAGTGGTTAAATATTTGGAATGGATGTTGGAATTTACAGAAAAACAAGATAAATAAATAAATAGATAAAATACGAAAAAAAAAAAAATACTCAAATGAATCGAAAAGGATCGCATTTTTAATTTCTAAAAGATTTCTAAAAAATCGCACATGTAACGATTAAATTATTAATATTCATGTTTAATAAAAATAATTATTAATATATTTAATAAAATAGTAATTAATCAAATTAAACTCGATTAAAAGTTGATGATAGCAAACTTACTCTTCGAAGAGGAATGATTTCGGCCTATTTCGGCCAATGATCTGATAATAGGTAGCCTAGACATGTTGTTATCTTTACGTCTCTCGTGTTGATGCCGATGCCTCACCAGAAGAGCTTCCCTGACCTGCTCTCCAAATACTTTTCTCGTTAGAATTTGCACTTAAATATATTATAAGAGATATAGAAAGACGACTCATTATCTATGAGTTATCTACTCCACGAGTAGAGTCTCTTTTCTCGTACCTTTTCCCTCGACTCGGCAGGCAACGAGCCTTTATTGATCATATTATCGAGAACCAAATCAGCAATCTGTTCAAGACTGTTCGCTTCCATGTCCAACATCACAGTTCCATTTAACAGCAAACTCCTCAGTTCGAAGAGGGCGTGTAGCGAGAGAGTCGCTACGTGTGGTTTGCTCCATCTATTTCCACCCTCCTCGACGTCTTCCTCAAATTTGATCCACCTATGGGTTAAGATGAATATATTTATACCGGGAAAAACAAATTTTGTCGTTATCTAGAATAGAATTTAACAAGGGAATAAGATTACCTGGCTGTTCCTTCCATTCCATCTCGTCGCCATCCTTGACGAGCTCCTCCATCTCGGAGAAGAGAGGATGGGATTCGTGTGCATCGTCGCCAACTTCTTCGCCCAGGATAAATTGCACCCTCTGGGCTGGGGGTGTAACTGTAATTTTAGATATTGCTTCGTGAATCGCGAATTCCTTTATTGCATGAAGGAAAAAACGAACGAAACATAGATAAGATTTCGCGCGTACATGTAGTACAACTACTTGTTTGATTTAAAATTGCTTGAAATGACGTTGAGTGATCTCCAAATATCTTGGAGAATAATCTGTAGAACAATTTCGAACATCGAAATGATTTTGAGATGATTTTGAATCAATCTTGAAATGATCTTCATACGACTTTGGGATGATCTTGAGATGACTCTGAACGACTTTTGAATGATATTAATATGATAAAAAGATTTCGAGATGACCATTACACATGACATGGTATGATTTTTTTACGATTGTCAAATGATTCTTGGTGTATATTTTATAAATGTATTTTTTGTCAATGCAACGAGACGTTCTCTGTCAGCTAAAAGCGCATTGTCTCCAGTAACAACAATAAAAATATGTTGTGCATATTGTTAAATAATTGGGAAGAAACGTAAAACATACAATTCACGGGAGATTGAAACGTTCGCACTTTTAAAAATGCGAATCATTTAATTAAAGAGTGAGTCTTTGAAAAAACTTTGAAAAAATAGGACAATATTAGATAGATCGAGCAGTGCAGAATGATCAACGCAAACTTTTGCGTGCACAATGACGCATGACACATGCATACGTCTAAGAAAAGTGTTGGAAATGAAAAATACATGAAAACCAGATGTACATAAAGAAAATATACATTTTCTTTATCGTTCCTTTCGATAATTACAAGCTGTTCAGTAATCACGGTATGAATCATAAATGAAATCGCGTGTCGATATCGAAAAATATTTAATGAGACCATTCGTATTTCATTCGATTTAAATTGTTACGAAATATTTTCCGTGAAAAAAATATCGCAAGACTATATCTGCATTAATAAAAGATAATATGCATTAATCACATCGCACCAACTATTGTAACGCTCTTTATATAACAGTAATAAACAAATTAATGATACATGAGTCACACAAGTTATACACAGAGCGATTTGATCTGATAAATATTAATCTTGTTCGGGATACATCACGCTATAACGTGAGATATTAATTACGAATCTAATCGAACTTAAATACCATCCCGCCAAATTGCCGAAGCGATTGCAACAACCTTGACGAGATATCCTTGAATGGTAATTCGTTTATGTAGTTTTTTTTTAAATCAATGGCTCATCGCCGATAGTGCATTTAAATGATTAAGTAAGCAGTAAAATTTTGACGTGATATTTTTTCAGCTATCTTGATATTCACGTACGAATGATCTCTTCGTAAATGTGTCCGTGTAAATAGTACATAAAATTTTGTTGCGTGTTTGAGCTTACGTATCATCTCGCCGTCGGGATCGCAGATACTAGATAGTCGACTCCTTCGAGTCATCAGCAATTGTCCTGAAACGTCAACGATACAACAAACATTGACGCTAATGCAATTTCGATTCTCATAATTACTCTCTTCATAATTTGATATTTCACGATGATTCGACACAAGCGTCGTTTTTATTTTTATTTCACCACGATCATCTCCTCAAATTTATAGTCTGGAGCTAGATTTTTAATATTTATTCGAAATATTGCGACGTAAATTAAATTAACGAACGAAATTAAAAATCTCGATCGCAACAATCTCGATCGCAATTTTTCCGAACACCAAAGTGAATAGAGATTAAAAGCAACTATCGTATCGTAAATATTAAATCGTAGATAGCTGACTTTTATTAAAGTCAAACAATGAAACACATGCAAATAAAATTTTCTGAACGAAATATTAATCGAAAAGCTTTTTCCGACCCGAATTTATGACATATCATGTCAATCCAAAAACAGAATAAATAAACGCTTTCTACCATTCGTTCGCAAAGGAATACAAAAGGATGGCTGCACGATATCTCTCGAAGGAAGGGCTGAGACGGCCTTTGTCTCGATATCGGTCACTCTCTTGCATCCCGTGTGCCAAAGATAGGGTGAACAGCCGGAGAAGTCGTGACAAGTGGTTGGCTGGTTGCCACATACCGTTCAATAATGCCGCAAAGTGCAACATACCATGGAACGTTTACACGCGCACTCTACGGTAGCTACTTGAACGACACGGCCACCGCTAATGGGAATGAATCAACGGTGGGAATAGTTTTCAAAGTGATACGGTTCGTTTGAGAGTGCGCCTTCGTCATCCAACAGTATCGCTTTACCGTCATCCTTGTCGTTTCATTTTTTATCTCTAACAATACTTTCGCGAAAGCGCGCGGATAGGAGTCTCCTCTCGCTATTCCGCGATCTTTAATTTGAAGCGGTGCGGCGTGGCAAACTTTTAGCGGTCGGAACATCTCTATTTACGTCGATCGGACGAAATAGCCGAGAAGTTGGTGAGAATTTCCAGCTCACCGTGTCTCGAGTTGGAGAGGCTTTCTTCCGTCGTTCTCACGAGAGCGATTAACTGAGTTCGGTGTAAAAGCGCCGAGAACTACTTTAACCTCGAAAACTCGTGACCTATAAGAGACATTTGTCTCTCGTTTCTATTCGCGTTTTATCGATTATTCGGCGTGTGTCGTTCCTCCCTTAGCCAAAGAGAAACAACGAGAAATCGGCCGAGACGGGATTAGATTGGTCCTCGCGAGGGTAGCGTATTAATCGAAACGATGGGCGTGTCGCGATAGAATTTTATGGATTGGCCACCAACGTTGAGAAACGAGGGGAGAAAAGTTTTGTAATCTTGTTGCTGGAACACGATCCGTAGACGGAGCGAAGATTGCGGAGCGAGAGTGAAAAGCAAGAGTATATGGAAACAGAAATGCAAACGTCGACAACTTACTGGGCCTATCGTTGTCGACATTATCCTTATCGGCACTGTACGTTTGACGTTGAGAATGATGGTGCTTGTGATGACGACGATGTCTCCTTTCGCCTGGTAGATGCACGCCCACATACACCGTGTGCGCTCTGTGACCTGGAAGCAGATGAAAGAGAACTCGCGTCACTGGCTCCTCGAATCGACGTTCCTATGATTATCGATAATAAAAATTCATACAAGCGGACAGAAACAGAAATTCATATTATCGTCTTTTCTCTATAAGTACATATTTCCCCTATGTCTTTGACATGGACAGATATTTGCTATCCTGCTGCCTCTTTAAATTTCTCTAATGTTTCTTAAATCTTTTACAATAATCGATAGTGATCCAGGCTGTTAATAATCGATTCAATCGTCGGATACAAGATCGCATCAGAACAGGTGACCTCGAGTCCGATGTTCTACGCAGACAAGAATCGCGATATTGGTGAACGAAATAATGATTTTCGAAGCACCAGCAACGCGTTTTATGAGCAAACAACGAAGCCAGATCTGTGTGTAGCTGACCTACGCATGAACAAGTATTATCGGGCTGATTAAAGCGTAAGGATGCGAAAGGAGATTTCGATCATCGACCAAGAGTTTTTATCGGTGAGAAAGAAATCGAAAGAAATTTAGATACCTTCGTAGTCTTTCTCGGTGAAAGGTTGATGAGTGATCCGAACACCGGGATCTTTCGGAGCTTCGTCGTCACCTGTCCCACCTGCGTGGGCCGCGCCACCTCCACCTCCGATACCCGGCTGCATCCACGGTCTAAAAAATAAATCCAACGCACACGTCAAATAAATATGATTAAAATAACAAGAAATTTTGATAAAATCGTTCCAACAAAAGTTTGAAATCGATCATCCGTCCCAATAATCGTATCCTTCCGCGAGAATTGAAACGATATTACTTTGGATCCGCCGCAGTTGCACCAAGATAATTGCAATATTCAAAAATGACTGGTTATCGAAGCGGTATCCGCGTGAACACGATAGCAACTCGTCAGCTTCGCTAACAGCTCTCGAATATACGCGACTCTACGCGAAAGTGACCGATAACGTGTAAATCGTTCCCCCGAATTCTTGCCTTTCAGCGGCGTTTATGAAGGAAAAACGCGCGTGGGATTGTGGAATATGTGCGGAGACGGTGCTCGCGATTACCGGCGATGCACACGCGATTTTATAATAATTAAACTTCCTCGACGGGAAGTACTTTATTTGCAGCACGAGCATGCACGTTCTCTTATTTCCCTCTTCTCGCTTACTTTCCAATCAATTTTTACACGTTATATCCTAAACGAAATTTATTGATTATTTCGAACAGAAGAACTTACAACGAACCACTTTTGAACGATCCCTCACGACGATCCATATCTTTTTCCGTACGAATTTAATTGTTCACGTAGACTCGAATCGCGATAATAGATTAAAACAATGCCTCACGTTTTATTCGCGAAACAATAGGAGTTGCGTGCGGATCGACTTTGATTCTTTCGATACTTCCAATTCGACTCGCGTCATCTTCATCGCGAGATAAGCGGGGATAAGGTGAAAACGCGCGACATCCGGTCGCTTAAAGAGACGCTTGTTTTCGAATCGATATCACTTATGAGTAAACAGAGAAGTTGCACATTGTAGATGCACCATGAAAATCTAACAAGTGAACGAAAATTACCGAGGAGAGTCACGCGATTACGCGTAATCAGTTGGCACGTGCGATCCTAGACACGGAGGTCGATTACTAAACCGAAGCAGTTTTGTTGGGCATGTGTCGCACATGTATCTCGCATAATAAAGCATCGTAAAAAGCCCGGCTCTTTTGGAACGATACGATTCTTTCGACTACGCAGATCCACCATGTTGTGCGAAGGATAATAATGATACTAAAGATGTTTAAAAACTCGACGAGAAGACGCGAATTTACGAGGGAATCGTGAACATTTTACGCTTTACGAAGAGCTTAACAGCATGACTCTACGCGACTTACGATCCTTTTTTACGAATTTTTGAAAACTTAATTTCGTTTTAAACTTTCTTTCATCTTCTTCGTTAATATAGTTTTCCAACTTTTCCGCAATATGCTGTTTGTGTATGTGTTAGGATAAATTACTTTATAACCTACAATTTACACTTTACGATTTAATACCGTCATAAAAATAACGAGGAAATTAATTCGTAACGCAATGAATGATTTAAAAGGCTATTGAAAAAAGCTGTATATACAAAGTTGTATGTTACAATAGCTAACTATTAACGTGAGAAAGTATAAAGTTCATTATCGAGAGAATTATGTGTACAAGGATAATTATTATTTCATATTTACCATAATGTATTTTGCGTGTGTATCACTATTGTTTTCTCCTTTCGATAATTAAATCATATTTTTGAACGAAAAGTCAGAGGAAAATGAATTAAAATTCTCGTTTAATTCTTATTATATTGAGATTCTTCTTTCTCCAAATTATCTCCAAAACTAAAAATAGAGAGTATTGAAGAAAAATCTTTTATTTCCCAAAATCTTAACTTTTATAATAAAATCAATATTTAAATAAATATAAATAAAAGTTTATTTTCTAAATCTCTTATATCTTCCTTTTTTATCACAAAAAAGTGATAAAACTTTCCTAGTTATCTTATAATATTTAATCGTCTAAATCCACAAGACTGCAAGATAATAATGAAATTGCAACACATTCAATGATCACATAGAACCATGACATTTTTCTCAACATGTATACGATACACATTATCGCGACAATTAGATATATATATATATATATTACATAGCAAATCATTTATAAGATAAACATCGTAAATGATAATCTTCAACAGGTTTCTCAGCCCATTTGAATTTCTCCATAGATCGTGAAAGTATATATGGAAGTTTTCGAGGCTGATTGTCAGAATGTCAAGATCGTGACAAACGTTAAACGGTCAGCCGAGGATTAGCAGCTGTCAAGTGGATAATTACCACGCTATGATTATCTGCGTTCTACCTATGTGTACATGTAATATATGTAGTTTTACATAATAGACGGTCCTCTCGTACGCAGTTACGATAAAGGGAGAGTGGGATAATAAATGAGGGGAGCAAACGATAATTGTTTAATTGTTGGAGGTCAACCTGGTACCTACCGATATAAAAGAAGATTAAAAATATCCACGAATACGAAGGAATTCGATTTCTCGGATTCGTTTCGACGCTTCTAATGGATATCTAATGGATTAAAATTCTTCGAGAGTTTCACCGAAGGACAAATGTCAAACGATCGATGCACACGATGAATTCGAGACATTCTTGAATAAAATCGCGTCGCGATACACGTTGCTGAAAGCGCACGAAATTTTCAACGATCGACTGTCAACGGGAAGATTCGTCAGACCAATGAGTGCATTAACGAGCCACAACAACGTCAAATGAAAAAGTCCTTGTGATATGATATTTTTTTGTGATTCGAGTAACGAGCATTGTCTGCAACAAAGTTGTACCACTCGTTCTGGATACTTATAATTGAAACGTAAAAATGTAACGATCGAAATAATAGTTCATTAACGTTCTTTATTACGATCTCGAGGCTCGAAATAAATTTCAAATATGTATTCATCGCGGAGCTTGGGACAATCCTTATTGTGTACCAGTTACTTTAAATTAAAAATAGATTTGAGATTAAAGTTGTTCATCATTGATAAGAATTAAAAAATTGATAAAGAATAGGAAAGATCGATCTTTTTGAATGTATTTGCGAACGTCTCAGAGAGAATCATTATTGAAACATCCGATAATGCGGATCAAGAGTCTGCTATGCGCCATTCGATTTATAGCATGCGGGAGAGATCGTAATCGAATTTGGATTTTTGCCAATTTCTTGACACCATCTCTTGAATTCCAACCGATTTCTAAATTCAAACACTTATCAGAGTATAATTTCTTCGTTGGAACCATTTATTTCCGAATAATTGGTCAACTAGATTGTTGGAACGACATTGTTCCGGAAAAACAACGATGCGTTTTTGAATTTATTTCCTTTACGCGAAGAAAATTTCGCAATGTAGTATGTTATAAACATTATTTGCGAGAATATCGATGGTATGAAATTAGCTACGATTTTAAACTTTGTTTAAAATTCAGAGGAAAATTATGAATAGATATAACGAAAACGAAGAGACGTGCAAGATATTCGATTTCACGAAATATACTTTATTGGGAATCAATTTCTTTGCTATAATGCTATGAAATCGAATGATTTATCATTGATAATTTGTTATTTTAAAATCTTCATATTTCGCGCTGTTGCGTACGTAAATTTCGTCTGTTTTTTCGCCCAGTATTTGTTTTATCTTTTTTTATCGATATACTTTCCGGCGTGAAATCACATAAAACGCGTCATTTTTCACAAATGATCTCTCCTCTTTTATTTACCAGACGAAGTTTTATTCAACGAATTTTCAATAATATCGTTTCTAAGTAAAAAGACAAAACGGATAATTTTATAATTTGGTATTCATTCAAAGTCCAGTGATGATAGACCGATGTGTGTACCACATATGTCGAATGAATTGAAGGATAGACTACACAATAATGCTGATAAAAGATAATATAATATTATCTTTTAATATTTTTTTTAAATTTCAGTAATTCTTATTAAACAAACATATTAATCCAATGAAAATTTTAGGCCACGTATGATCCAGACGGAATGAAATAAATAAAAAATATTAAAATGGAAACTAAAATGGAATCTTATTGACTTATATATTAATAACGAAGATAAAATGCAAACTGTATACAAAACGTGTTTAATATTTAAACACTACGATAAGAAAAAATCAAACTTCGACAAGCGATAATAAATATTGCATTAAATAAAAATATATCTACAATATAGACTCTATGACGTCTCTTTTTTTCGAAGAATCAAGAAATTACTCTTAATTAACAAAAGAAACGTTCCCTTATCTCGCCCGGCTAAATTACCTTTCCATTTTTCCATTTTTAAAAAAGTAAAAACACATAAACGAGAAGATAAGACATATCAATCGTTTTCATTATATCGTTGGCGCAATAAGTCGGTAAGAAAGACACGAGCCGCGAAACGATGCTCAAAATCATTGGAAATTTGCATCCTACTTCACTCTCCACGCGTCTCGAATCCTTTGTAGATCGAATCAAGGATAAATCTCGTTACCTCGAGTCGTACGGATCGCACTTGGAATTCATGTCCGCCGATTCTTACGTCCGATCTTCGAGCAAAGAAGAGTAAGTGTAACACGGTTACGATCGAACGACGACCGTTCGGTTAAAGAGTTGGAAGTCGGTCGGTCAAAACGACGATTCTCATGGCCAAGTGTTAGAATAGCAAAGTAAATAAAGACGTAGGTGTAGGCGTGAATGCACACGCTGATAGGCTGATTCGCTGACACGTTGGTAGACACAATCGAGGTCCGCACCGGTTGATCGCACTCGCGCCCAATACACTCTTACACTCGTTACGTTGGTTACACACGCACCATTAACGTACGTCTAAGCAGTACGATGATCACCGATCGACTGTTTACCACCGGCTGACACTGGTGTCTCATTTGTGTCATAAAGGCTTTCCATCTATAATCGGAGCGGCAGTCGAGGAACGCTAGCAGGCCGGTAATCGCGCGTTTCCCTAGTAATGATCGGTCGTTCGTTTTACATAGCTACTGATAAGTCGACTCAAGATAATGATTACGTATTTTGATCCCGTGCTCCTCGAATGTGACTCACTTCGTATCACGATTCATAGATTTTCATTAAATTTACGCAAATGACCTGGCAACCGACCTTATGCGAGCGCGATAATCGATTTATCAATTTTTCGAATTTCCAGATCTTTGAACGAAACGATTTTTGTCCCCTTCGTGAAAGAGAAATTTCCCCTCTTTTCCATAGTCTATTGGCTACCAGATCAATAACCGATATTCTCTGAGAAGAAAATCGAGCATGTAAGCATTGCCACGCGTGTCGAGTAAATAGACGCAAGCAATTCTCGTATAATCCGTAAACGCTTACGCTGAGAAATTGATATCGCGTTTTCTATTTGTTCGCTCTTTACGGTTCTTCGTTAACTACTCTTTAAACGAACAATTTTTATTCGCTTACTTTTTTCATTATAATCTGAAGAAGCCTGTTTTCGAGTTACTTTACTCGTTCCTTCGTTGAACATTTTCGTAAACGAACAATCATAAATCGGATTGTTATGTATTGCAATTCGTAACCATTGAAAAATTACTGATTTGAGAACCATGATCTACCGGATATTAAAGAATCTAGATATAACAGATGAAAACTATTCGAAAGGTGACACCAATTAGCGTCAAGAGTCGAGATATGGATGATTATCGTAAAAAAATTTGATTAAGGTGAGAAAGTTGCAATTGAAGCGTCCCAAGAAACGTGTACGAGCTGCCGGCCTTTTACTCATTATCGAGATAATGACGATGAGCTGATAATCATCGATAAAAATAACACGGTTTGCAAGCAGATAGCTCGCGGAAAAACACAAGACAATTATAATGGGTGCGCCTTGAAAAAATTAAATTGTTGAAAATCCAAACGCTGCCAATTAGTTTGAATATTTTTATATATAATTATAGCGGATAACTACGATAACACAGGTTTACTTTCAATCCAAACAATAAAGGGATTTCGCTTTATCGTCGCATTAAGTCCTTCTTGAGTAACGTATCATAGTCTGTCTTTTTAGTGCTAATCAGTGCGACTGAATCTTTAACAAACGACGTTATGTCAAGTTGAAACGATGCTTGCCCGCTTTGTCCGTTTTTATCGTTCGATTAGATCCATTGTTTAACGACCGATTCAAGAAGAAGAATGTTAATAGCGTTTAAGTGGAATATAATAATAGATAAAGACTCGGAAATTCGATAAAAAGATTTTATAGAATGGTTACCGGAACTATTCCATTTATTATTTGTTCGATTTCAACGACAAGGAGGAGCTCTTGAACGTTGTATGTCTCGTTTCCGAATTTATCGATTAAATTCGCTTCGACCGGTCTCGTTAACAATCATTTCACCGATCTGTTCAAATATTTGAAGTTTCGCAAAAATTCTGGAATTTCTTTGATTAATTCGAACACTGATATTGTGACACTAAAAGAAGGAAAGCTCGTGTAGGATTACTCACCTTCTAATTTGCTGAAAGACTTGAACGTCCTTTGATCGCAAGTTGTTTTTTTTTTTTTTTTTTCTCTCAACACAATCACGTTTTATCAGACAGCCCACATCGTCGCGCGAAATCTCGCACGTTGGCGCACGAATTCGAACAATTTTGCGATTTTGATCGTTCTTTACCGGAAGCACCGATATCCACAATTAAGATGTCATTTTATGTTTTTAACGAAAATACAGATGTGTGCTGCAAACAAAAACGGAACAAGATATAGGACATGTTTGTATCCTAGATAAGGAAACGCGAGTAAGATGTCACGAGTTATTTATCATATGTTGTATGAATAAAAAAAATCAGAAGAAGTTCAACGACGTGTTTTCGAAAAAAGAAATCCGTGAAAAATTTACGCCCCTCCCTATACAATATCTCCATCTTGCTGTTTCAGGATCGAAATACAAAAGCGATCGACTGCCTCGCCCTTTCTTTATCTCTAAATAGCAAAAAAAAAGCGCAATAATTTTCAAACATTGTACTTGCAATAAAAATAAAAAAAAGTTTATCTCTAAGATAAGCGAAATCTATAAAAATCTATCATAATACTTGTTAATTTTTTTAAAGATTAATATCTTCGTTATGAAGTATAGTTACTTAAAAAACGCGTAATTAAATCATCGTTCAAATCAGATGAACAGAGAAAAAGATTTTTTATCGTTTGATCGTTTTTTCATTGAAACATCGTTAAAATCTTTCCATGCTTTTTGGCATACGAGGAAGTACGATAATTTTTAATTCCTTTTCCATTTCTAAGCATTGTCTCGCTTTTCATCGATTCAACTTTTCATTCAATGATTAAAACGGATAATAAACTGAAGAAGAAGCGATAGAGCGACACTCGCTGAAAAGATAAAGTACAGTGGTAAATCGTTTGGCGAAAGAGTTGGCTGTGACAGGTGTCAGGCCGCGAAACGATTAGGAGAGGCAAGGGTCAAACACCGACAAAGTTTAACGCGTGAGATCTTCGAGTTTCTCTAAGGATCGTAGTTGAATGTCATCATGTTTTCACAGTTAGATGGAGAAAATAGATCGCAATGTTGAGTCGAGATTGAATCGATGATAATTGGAAAATCGAGTGGCTCGAATATACACGATTTATATTGATGGCATAGTCGTTGAACCCCTGGTGTTCTCTGTATTCTAGCTCACTGTATGCAAAGGCTCGAGCGAGGAACGTGCGGCGCGTATACGCGGCGCGAGCATACTGCTACTCGCGAGCGGTGGAGGCAGCTTCACCCTCTTCAGTATTGATCCACGTGGCCAGCTCGACTCTTTCCGCCACCAGCCCCACCGACTCCTCTTCGCGACCATCCACCGACCGATGGCTACCGATCCATCCACCTCAAACTGTTCATCCCCTTTTCTTCTCTTTTTTCTCATCGTTCTGTCGGTCCATTTGTCTTTCTTCCACCGCAATATTCCAAATAAGAAAAAATGGTAATCTTGATTGATTAGGCAACGTAAGATTTTAAATATGGAACTATTTAAAAATATTTAAATGGATGTATTAGAGATGAATTTTGTTCGCTTATTGACATTTAAATGCGAGAAAAGAGAATAAATTCATTTATAGAGAATCTCACTGATACGATTTTATGTTGATCTCGATAAAAAAAAATTACTAAACAAAAAACTACTAAACAAAAAAAATATATATATATATGTATATGAATAAAAGTTTCAGAATAGAAATTCGTGTTGTATTGCTGACGCTATTTTAGACTGAAGTCATATAAATAAGAACGTGCTCGTAGAATCGGAAATTGAAGTTAGAGACATCATTCGCTTAAATGTAAGTCGCTGTCCTACTGTATAAAAATATCTTGAAATGAAAATATCTTATAATATATTATAAATATAATATATATTATAATATAATATATATATATTTCATTCCAGATAAATAAATTTTCAACATTCATTCCAGATTTTTCTTAAATCTTACTAGAATGATAGATGGCATACAACGTTAATTTGCAACACATTGATATTACTTCAAAAATGCTTTGAATTTCTTTAAAAAACTTTAAAGAAGAAGTAAAAAAATGAAAAAGTTGATAAGAAAATTTTAATAAAAACAATTTAATTATATTATAAAAACTTAATTGTATTATTGTAATTAAATGTATAATTTTATATTATCTCAAAACAATATATATTCTTAAAATATATATGAGTTATTTAAATGTTCAATTTTTTAGTGATCTATAAAATCACAAAAATTATCTTATAACGATATACTGCATCTAATTTAGATTAGACACGAACAAAATATCATACAGATTTATCTTACGAAAATTTATACTTCATATTCTAAAATATCGATCGGGTCTTTCAAGCCTTTCTATTATCGACGAAATATAAAACAGATTTCTAAAATATCGATATTTCAAAAAAAAAGAAGTTTTCTTCTATCCTTCATTACATACATAAATACTTACATTGTATACAAAACTTTTTTAAGATTCCTGACTGATATCTACTACAATGAATCTATTTTTTTTTAAATTAATAATTACATAACCAAATTTTTCATTTTGAAATGAATGATTTATGTAATCTCAAATTAAAAAAAAAAAATTTTTACTTTCATTCACGAGTATTATTTAAGAAATCTAAACTAAACTCATTATTACAAATTATGAATACATTAATAAATATCTTAACTATGTTATATATATCTTAATGTAAAAGTATAAAAT